TATATATATATATATATATATATATATATATATATATATATATATAAAATATATAGTCTCTTGATATTTCTTGATTTTTCTGTACTGTAACTGGGTGAATTACTCATGTATTGGGCTTTCTACACAGCTCAGTTGGAAGAATGTGCCTGCAATGCAGAAGACCCCAGTTCAATCCCTGGGTCAGGAAGATCTCCTGGAGAAGGAAATGGTAACCCACTCCAGTATTCTTGCCTGGAAAATCCCATGGACGGAGAAACCTGGTAGGCTACAGTCCATGGGGTCGCAAAGTCGGACTCGACTGAGTGACTTCACTTTAAGAGGATGTGACTCATTAGGAACCAGAAGGCACACTGAGGGCTCCAAGATGGTTTCCAGTGATTCTTTCTCTCCTGGTATTCTTATCCTTGTGTACTACCAACTCATGTTGGGCTGGTCTGTGTAATATGTAGAATATTGTAGAAATGACAGAATAGGACTTCACAGGCTAGATCTTAAGACATTGCAACTTCTACCTTGTTTTCTCTTGGATCACTCGCTCTAGAAGCTAGCTGCCATGTTGTGGAGACACTCAAGACAATCCTATGGAGTGCTCCCATGTTGTGGGAGCTGAGGCCCCCTGCCAACAGCCAGTTTTGTGAGTAAGTCATGTTGGGAGTGGATACTGAACCCTATCATGCCCTCAAATGAAAGACCCTAAACCAGAACCACGCAGCCAAGTCACTCCCGAGTTCTTGACTTACAGAAAGTGTGATAATAAGTATTGCTATTTTAAGCTACTAAATTTGAGGTTATTTTACCTAGTAATCAAATTCCCACACATGTATATATATGTGTGTGTGTGTATATATATATATATATATATATATAAAATATATAGTCTCTTGATATTTCTTGATTTTTCTGTACTGTAACTGGGTGAATTACTCATGTATTGGGCTTTCTACACAGCTCAGTTGGAAGAATGTGCCTGCAATGCAGAAGACCCCAGTTCAATCCCTGGGTCAGGAAGATCTCCTGGAGAAGGAAATGGCAACCCACTCCAGTATTCTTGTCTGGAGAATCCCATGGACAGAGGAGCCTGATGGGCTACAGTCCATGGGGTCACAAGAGTTGGACCTGGCTTAGCGACTAAACCACCAATGTGGTAGAAATATGTTTTGTTGACTCTAAATTTGCAAGTCATTACTTTAGAATTTGATTAGTTCTTCTGAAGCACTATGCTTACCATGACCCCTGTGCTTCTTATTCTGGTGTGTACATCACAATATTCACTTCTCCCCAAGGATAAATAATTGAGAGAAATGATAAAGAACTTAATAACTGAGAGAAGTGATAAAGAACTTAATAATGCTCTCCCTATAAAATAAACTAATAATCACAGAGAAAGAAAGTCTCTTACTTGCTACTTTCATTTTTTTTTTTGCAAAAAAAACAAACAAAAAACCCCTGAAGCTTAATCATGGATTTACTTTGCTCCAAGTCAAATCTTCAATTTTTTAAAAATAAGTTTTACTTAGATCTAATACACATACAGAAAAAGTGAACATCTGGATGAAATGTTACAAAGTGGACACACTCATGTAACCACCATCCAGACCAAAGAAACCAAACATTACCAGCCTTTTAGAAGCCTGTCTGGTAAATTCTACCTACTACTCTTTTCTTACCCCTCAAAGTAACAAGTATTCTGCCTTCTAAATCATTTATTTATTTTATTTTTTATTACTTTTTAACACCAAAAACATTTTGTATTGGGGTATAGTCAATCGACAATGTTGTGATAGTTTCAGGTGAACAGTGGAGAGATTCAGCCATACATATACATGTTTCCATTCTCTCCCAAATCCCCTCCCATCCAGGCTGGCACACAACATTGAGCAGAGTTCCATGTGCTATCCAATAAGACTTTTGTTAGTTATCCATTTAAAATATAGCAGTATGTTCGTGACCTTCTCAAAGCCCTTAACTATCCCTTCCTCTGCCAGGAACCGTGAGTTCATTTTCTAAGTCTGTGAGTCTCTTTCTGTTTTGTAAGTTCTTTTGTATTATTTCTTTTTAGATTCCACATACAAGGGGTGTCATATGATATTTCTCCTTCTTTGACTTACTTCACTCAGTATGACACTCTCTAGGTCCATCCATGTTGCTGTAAATGGCCTTATTTCATTCTTTTTAATGGCTTAGTATTATTGTATTATTCCATTGTATCTATATATACCACATCTTCTAAATCCATTTCTTTGTGGATGGACGTTTAGTTGTTTCCATATCTTGGCCATTGTAAATAGTGATGCAGTGAACATTGTGGGTGCATGTATCTTTTCAGGCCATGTTTTTCTCTGGATATATGCCCAGGAGTGGGGTTCCAGGGTCATATGGTAGCTGTTTTTTAAGGAACCTCCATACTGTTCTCCATAGTGGCCTTACCAATTTACATTTCCACCAACAGTGCAGGAGGGTTCCCTTCTTTCCACATCCTCTCCAGCATTTGTTGTTTGGGGATTTTTTATTTTTAATTTTTACTTTTCCTGGTTGTGTCACACAGCTTGCGGGATCCTGATTCCCTCACCAGGGACAACCCTGAGTCCCCTGCAGTGGAAGCATGGAGTCCTAACCACTGAACCACCAGGGAAGTCTCTAACGTTTTTTATCAATGTTGAACATCACATAAGTGGAGACATATAGTATGTATTTTTTCATATATGATTTCTTTTCCCCAATTTATTTACCTTTTTTTAACTTTGGATTATAAACACCTTGCCTAATTGTCATTTGTGTCTGCTTCATCTTTTATTTTGGATAAACTTTAATGACAGCCAGAGACTTCAAGTCCACACTAGTGAGTGAAGCTGTGCCTATGTATTTAAGACGAGAAAAAGCCTCCCAGTAATTTATTGGAACGTCACAGAATCCGTGCCTTTTGGTTATCATAAGGCAGAGAGTAGTTGAATTTCTCAGGAATCCAGATTGTCAATTTTTCAAGCTGTATACCTCTGGATAAGTTGCCTCATCATTCAAACGTTCCTAGGAGGATTAAGTAACACGTAAAGACATGTAAAAAGGGAAGGGTACACATATTTCAAGTGTTGTTTTGATGTTGGGTTTGTCTTGGAAGTCTCAGGTGATGATGATTTTTGATTCTTCAGAATGATCTATTGGAGCTCAGAGACTTGATGTAAAATCCCTCAAGTCAAGGAAAACCATATTATTTTTTGTTGGGGGAGGCAGAAAAATATGCATTGTTGGGCACCGAGATTTAGAAGAGTAGCTATAGGTTTTCTTGGTTCTTGTAGGATCCCTATGGTGTGGCTTCCTGCAGGAGGCAGAATTTCCAGAGCTAGGAAATTGGATTTCCAGAGTTATTCCTACAGTGAGGGGAGCTAGTTTTGGGTGAACACGGTAATTCTATTCAACAAGCAAGAGAAAAGCTCATCCTTCTTGTTCAACCTGCCACTAGCTGTCTTAACAGGAAAGATGAACACAAGGGGAATTACAGGCTCTGAGGGGAAGCACTCAAGATATAATTAGTGAGCCAGGTCCCACTAAACTTGACGGAGTACCTAGGGGGAACAGCGTTGTGGATCATTCCAGGCATGGGCAACCTATGGGAGAAGAGCTGCTTGGATGGACCTTCAGTATCTCAGGTGAGTTATCTCAGGGCTGGAGGTGACCACGTTCTCGCCCCCCAAAAGGTGATGATTCAAAAAAACAAACAAACAAAAACCAAACAACTAAACAAAATCCCCAAGAACCCAGCCCCCGAGGCGACCACCAAACCCTTCTACGTCCCCCAGGGCACACCACACAGAAAGAGGATCCAGATTCCATACAAAAGCCAATCCTACTTTCTGGCTCCCACACCCTCCCTCCTTCACTACAGGAGGGTGGTGAAGGATTTACGACCCACCTAGTTCTTCCAGTTGCCATGGATACCAACCCCAGTCCTTTCATTCCTTCTGGTACTGGGAACAGTCTCCAACGCAGGAGGAATGGAGGGCTCCTTACCCAAACCCGCCAGTGGGAGTGCTGGGGGAGGGGTGGCGGTTAAACAGAGCGCGACGGACTGGAGGTCTAGACTGCAGCGTTAGAATCAGGACAAAAGCTAAGTTCAGCCGCGGTTCAAGCCTTTCTGTTCGCCAACACCTGCGACCAGACCCTGCGGGACACTGCTGGGCTTAGGGGAGGGGCAAGCCGAGAAGACGGGACGCAGCAGCGAGGTGGGGCTCGGGGACGCGAGGCGGCTCCCGGGAGAGTTCCGGGGGCCGGAGCGCCGACCTGTGCACTAGCTCAGGAGGGTGCAGCGGCTGGAAGAAGGTGCAGGCCCCTCCACCCACTTGTCCATTGGGCGGCGGCGCCATCACTCTGCTCGGCAACACCGCTCTCCACCTCCGCCCAGCGAGGATCCCCTCCCCCGCCTTCCTCTGCTCCGCCTCGTCCTGGGAGCTTTTCATTGGGCGGAGGCGCGGTCGATTCTCCTCGAGTCAGAGAGCCGATTGGACAGGAGGCCGTCGGGCCGCCCCCAGCCAGCTTGGATTGGCTGGCTGCGCGTTGGCGCAACGGAAGAGGCGGCCTGCCGAAGGTGCTCTTTTGCTCCGACTGGCTTGCCGCGGAGGAGGCGAAGAGGGGACCAGCTCTGGGGGGCTGGCTCGGGCGGCAGCGGTGGCTGCTGCGGATGGGAGCCGGCTGGCTTGCCGCGCCCATGGAGCGCCACGCCAGGGCCGCCGCCACCTCTGCCTCGTCGGCCCGGGAATCGGTGCTCGGGGGCCCCGATGGGCGGCGGCGGGAGCCACTGCGGCGCCGGGCGAACAGCGCGTCAGCCCCTGCCGTCGGGGCCTCGGCTTCGGCCTCGCCTTCGGGGGAGGGCGTAAGGCGGGATCGGCCAGGCTCCTACAGCGGCGCTACCTCGGCCTCCCGTCAGCGCGTTGAAAGCCTCCGGAAGAAGCGGCCGCGTAAGTGCCCGGCGGGGCGCCTTAGCGCCTCGCCCTGCCCCCTTCCGGCCCGGCCGCCGTTTTTCCCGCGCGCGCGGGCGCGGAAACAGTGCCCCCGCACGGTGGTCCCAGTTGGTGCTTGAGGCTGGAGGCCTCAGGTCCCTCGAACACGCGGGCTTCGGGGTCGGCCCCGTCCGCCCCTTTTGTGCAGTGGTTCTCTCTTCTGCTTTTCAGTTGTCCCGATGGAGCGTCTTTTCTCAGGACCTTTTCTCCGGTTCTTAGCTCTTTGTCCGAGAGTCACATGATTTTTTTTCCTCGAGAAGGCTTTTTGACTCTTTCACCACCTCCCTTCCCCCCCGAGTCTTTTGAATCACCAGTGTCTCTCCAAGACGTTACATCCTTTTCATCTGGAGGTTTTGGCCTCAAGGGAGATGGTTGAGTTGTTGCAAGCCTAAAACTGGATTCCGTGTTCTGTGCGCTAAGCTTTTGGCTGCTTTTCTTCCCATGAGAATTCGGGTCATCTCTCACCCAGATATCGTATCCATCTTACTGAAGCTCACAATTCATTACTGTAGCATTCTGGGCTTTTTAGGAATTTTTCTTTTGAGGGAAAAAGACGTCTTCCTGAATATCGTCTTGGCGATTGCACATGCCTTTCACAAAGAATCGGTTTCCCTGTTTTATTATAACGTTTCTTTTTCTGCTTTGTGATCTAGTCCAGATTTTTTTTTTCTCTTTACGTGTCTTCAGTTCAAGTCCTCTGTCAAGCAGCCATTGCAACTCTTGAAAATATCCACTGTCTTGATACTCTAATGTGAACTTCTCGGATATAATAACAGTTTACTAATCCATATAGTTATGCTGTTTTTTTCGCTTGTTGCCAGATTCCTATTTCAGGAAACCAACTTGTTTTAAATGCAGAATTTGAGAGTGAGAACGTGGCAGTATGAGTGTGAGGTCTTTACTGGATATTACCTCAGTCTTTATTGGATAGTACCTCAGCTCAACAACCCATTTGCTTTACTCTTATATGATTTGGATGATTAAATATTAAATGCAGCTCTAGTTGGCTGTGAACAGTTTGAGAGTTTTCAGTTCTTTTGTCTTTCTCTGTGTTCTTGTAAGAAAGTTGGAAAAGAGATTATTCACTCTCAGCCTATGCCATTTTTAGAGCCTGGTGTTGAGAAGCACCTGATTTTTAAGTGATGCAAAACTCCTTCATGGTTTTGAACTGCTTTAATTCCAGAGATTCAGCAAATAATCGCAGCCAGGCAGCCAGCTCTTTGTGACCATTGACTACAAAGATTCTAAGTAATATTGTAATTTGGATGTTTGCCACAAATCAGGCAATCTTTAAAAAATTTTTTCATGTACTCTTCTGAAAGCTTTAATAAACTCCTTGCGACCCTGTGGACTCTACAGTCGGTGGGATTCTCTAGGCCAGAATACTGGGGTGGGTAGCCTTTCCCTTCTCCAGGAGATCTTCCCAACCCAGGGATCGAACCCAGGTCTCTGCATTGCAGGCGGATTCTTTACCAGCTGAGCCACAAGGGAAGCCCACCAACAGGTGTACCACTGAACAGTACAGAAAGACCAAATGGAAGGAAAAACAATACCTTGTCTATTTCTTTAGGTCTTGTTATCAGAAAGATGGTTTTTCATGACTTTTATAAGGACTGGTGAGTTCATTAAGGGCTTTCCCAGGTGGCTTAGTGGTAAAGAACCTGCTTGCCAATACAGGAGACGCAGGTTTGATCCCTGGGTTGGGAAGATGCCCTAGAGAAGGGAATGGCAATCCACTCCAGTATTCCTGCCAGGAGAGTTCCATGGATAGAGGAGTCTGGCAGGCTATAGTTCATGGGGACACAATTGAGCGACTTTCACTTCACTTCACACCAGTTAGCTGTATTGACTGCTGATCCCTTCAAGAGTTATACTTTGCTGTTAACTTTGAGAGAATTCAATAAAGATGAAATCTTTGTATTTTTTATTAGGAGAATTAGGTATAGGGTGGTGCCACCTTTCTTTTGTTTGGAAACCTCATTCTGATGTTATTGTACTACTTATCTAAAGATATAGGAGACTAGTTATTAGAAATTAGAAAGAGCTGTTTGGTTTATCTTAGGAATTATGAACCCTGATTATAGTCATATTCTGCCAAACATGTTCCCTAGAGCAGCGTGATTCCCTAATCTGTCCCCATCTCAGACTTAACACCACACATCGTAGTCCTTAGAGATATGGCTAGGGGTGTGTGTGTGTGTCTAAGAAGTTCTTTGAACATTTTAGATTAGCTGGAGTATGTTTCATAGGTTTGCAGCTAAGTCGCTTCAGTTGTGACAGACTCTGTGCAACCCCATAGATGGCAGCCCACCAGGCTCCTCCATCCCTGGGCGTCTCCAGGCAGGAACACTGGAGTGGGTTGCCATTTCCTCCAATGCATGAAAGTGAAAAGTGAAAGAGAAGTCACTCAGTCATGTCCGACTCTTAGCAACCCCATGGACTATAGCCTACCAGGCTCCTCCATCCATGGGGTTTTCCAGGCAAGAGTACTGGAGTGGGTTGCCATTGCCTTCTCCTCATAGGTCTGAGAGAAATATAAAGATTGGTTTAAAATGATGGAAACAAAGATGCTAATGATGGTAACATAATACTTAGGTGTTTATATTAAACACTGAGCCAAATACTTTATAAGCATTTCTTTTGAGTCTTGCAATTATTCTCTGAGATGGATATTTGTGATCTCCAGTTTCCAGATGAGGAAACATTTTCCCTTGGTCCAAGGCCATATAGAGAGAGAGTAAGGGAGCTGTGTTTTGATTCTAGTTGTGGGTGTCTGACGTCAGACCCAGTGTTTCTTTGACTTTCCACATCTTGGAAGATACAGGTGACATAATCCAGAGTAGTGGTGGAATCACTCAGAAGCTAAAAAACAAAAACTGATCTGCAGAGAGGTCCAAAAACATCTTTTAATTTTTAAAATTTTATTTTTTTAAGTTTATTTATTTTGGTTGTGCTGGGTCTTCATTGCTGCATGGGGTTTTCTCTAGTTATAGCCGGAAGGGGCTACTCTCTCATTGTAGTGCACAGGTTTCTTACTGCCATGGTTTCTCTTGTTGAGAAGCAGGGACTCTAGGGTGCCCAGGCTGCAGTGGTTTTGGCTCCTGCGTTCTATAGAGCGCAGGCTCAGTAGTTTTGGCACGCGGACTTTAGTTGCTCCAAGGCATATGGGATCTTCCCAGGTCAGGGTTCAAACTGTCTCTTGCATTGATAGGTGGATTCTTTACCACTTAGCCACCAGGGAAGCTCCAATTAAAAAATTTTTATTGAGGCATAATTACATACAGTAAAATGTACGATTTTGACAAATGTAACAAGAGAACATACATTTTAATCTGGAGCCCCAGATGTACAGCAGATGTGTAGGAGGTGTGTGAAACTCAGGGATCACAGTGCTTTTTGGCAGTGTGGGGGGATGAACTGGCTCTTGGAAGGTGATGTTTAAGCATGTGAAGCATATTTCAGTACTCCAGGGAAAGCTTCGTGACGTGCTGATTTTGAACTCGTACCAATCATTGAATGTCCTTAACCTCCATTAGTCTAGAAGATAAAGCTTTTGTTTGTAGCTTGATAGTACTAATCTAGAAAATAGTTAGCTTTTCCTTGGTACTTGGGGGAGCAGCAGTGTTGTCAGAATGAAACTGGTGCTTGGGCCC